CGATACTTAGTTTCCGATATCTCAGGATTTCAAAACACCCAAAAAAAGTATCAAGGCGTTTGGGAAGCCAAAAACATGCGACCCTATGTTAAGTAGACCATTAGGGATAAATAGCTTGTAAGACGTCACACTATGTTTAATAATTATTGTTGTATGCGTTATCCTTTCAATGAATAAATCGAGGACGATTCTGAGTCAGGATTGCCGAAACTGTAGGAACTATAGTATAATGCGGCATAGCAACTCGATCGTCCTTCGGTCGCGTAAATATTTTCGTGCCCGCTTCGCGACAAGAGCGTTAGTTTTATGTTCGACGTTATTTTGTTAAAAGCAGCGCGTCCCGGCAACGGGAAAACAGGCTCAGTCCTGCGACGACCGCCGAAAGAGCCAGTCTCTCTCGTTTTCACGATTCTGTATTCAGTAATAAATCCTGACTAATATAATACATTTTAACGAGTGGCTTCCTCCCCTTACACACGCGCGTGACCGCTGCCTATCAATCCCCGTCCGGCGATCTCATGGTGTTCGTAGATAATTTGGTATACTTGGTTCAATATCCGGAATTTAGTCTGCGGCCAGGTTGGCCGAAGACCCTGCAAGAACTTTCCCGAAAACGCGCTGATCAACGGAGCGGTGAACACCCATAGAGGACGTTCCTACGTGGTGTTCAACGGTAACGCGGTGGGCGAGATAGACGAATGCGACCAGGACAAGAGAGTCGCCAAATTTACGCCCCTCGAGGCGACGTTTCCCGGAATATCGAAAGGCGTGACGTCGATATTCCGCTACATCGACGGCAATCTGTACTTCACCACTCGGTCGCAGTTCTACAAATTCAACGAATTTACGAGGACCGTCTCGTCGGCCGGTAAATTCGATCTGCGGATACTGAATATCGTCTGCCCTAAGGCCGAACTGCTGCAGCAGTTGCGCGATCTCCTCGATCGAATCGTACGCCTCAACGATAACTCGCTAACGTCGGCGAGCGATTATTGGAACGATGACGACACCGGAGTTCGGCTCTCCGATTTCCGCATCCGCCGAAAGAAGTAGACTACCGCGCAAATTTTCCACACCGCGCCACGCGCGACATAAGTCAAATCTTTCCTACTTATACCGACGTGTCCCTTCCAAGGCATCAGTGTCGCGTCGTCGGCCGAATACGACGCGTCGGAAAAAAAATCAGAAAGGAACGGTTACCGCGACGCGAAATGTTCTCGACGTTGGCCGATCGACCCGCGCCGAGGAGTATTTCTCCTACGGAGACGGCGGATTCGGAGGCGAACGACAACGGCAATAAAAGACGGAGGATCAGTTCGATGGACGATCGCCATTATCTTCCTCGTCGCCAGGAATCGCGTCGCAGCTCTCATCCTCCAACCGACGCGCCCGTCGAGGACGATCGTCGTCGTCATCATCAGGGGTTTCGTTCCAACTTTCCCGTCGAATTGCCACCTGTGCGCATCCTGACGACGCGTTATCTGCTGACGACGACTGGCTACAAGTACATAGCCATAGGTATCACGATCAAGACACCGTGGTACAGTCTTCATACCACGCCTTCGTACGTGGATATCGCCCTGGGGGACAAACAAGGAAGGGAAATCTCCCTGACGCTCGACATGTGGAAAGGACTGATCGAGCGCAAACGCGACGTATTGTCGTGCATGGAACGCGCTCTTTCCGACGTAACTTACCCCCCCTCGCCGATGTCGATCGGAGGGATGACAATGCGATTCGGAGTGATCAACAACGGGCCGATCGTACGTATAGAGCTACCCAACCTGGCTCGCGTGGCGATGGTGCGCACAACCCTGCTCAAGCTGTACAATCTCCAATTTTGCGTGGATCGCGTCATCCGTGCGCTGAGCGCGGCGACCGAGGAGGTCAACGCTAAGTTTTTGCGCTATCGGGAGATAGCCGCCGCCGCGATGAAAATGGAAACTTCGATTCAGCCTGAGATACAGAAGAGCGATTTCTTCGATCCTGACAACATTGTCGACTGCGAGATAGCCGCGCTATGTTTCGACTCCTTATAACGATGTCGCGTCTACGAAATGCATATATTCGCGCGAGCGAAACAATGTAAACGCGCTTGTATTATTTTTTGAATAAAAAAAAACTATATGCGTATCTCATCTGTGCACTCTCTCTTTCCGTTTCCCCCTTTTTTCCCAAATCCGTATACCCATCTCCGCGATCGCGACGCCGAGTTCAAACGCGCGTTACATATATTATCGCGAATCATGAATTACAGGTCGAACGCGAGGTGAATAAAAAATTATCGCGAACGAAGAGACGAGTCGTCTGACCGCGCTTACCCCCCGCGGTCGCTTCGATCGCGACGCCGAGTTCGAACGCGCGTTACATAAATTATCGCGAATCGCGAATCACGGGTCGAACGCGAGGTGAATGAAAAAATTGTCGCGAACGAAGAGACGAGTCGTCTCGCTCGTTCTCTCTCTCTCGACGCGTCGCGTCGGGGACGGGCGGGAAAAAACCGCGAGACGAAAAGAGAAAAACCGCGAGACGAGACCAAATTGGGGAAACGACGAGAGCGACCGCGACGCCAAGTTCGAACGCGCGTCGAAAAAAAAAAATTGTCACGCGTCGATCGAACGACTAGACGATGAGTCATCTCCATCGATCCCGACGAGTCGGGAAAACCACGTGCTGCCCGTCGCCGCCGCGGGATCAAAACGACCTTCGGACCGAGAGTTGAAAAACAAAAACAAAACAAAACGACGACGACGGGCGCGCGACACCCGGCCCCCGCGAAACGAACCGTCCGGAACGCGTTGTTCTCCCCCCCATCCCCGAAACGTCCGGACGAGCGACCTCAAACGAGTTCGAACGAGTTCGGACGCGCCCAAACGCGCACGCGCGACCGACGACGATGAAAAGAAAAGAAAAAAATAAAAACGGACGAAAAATATCGACCCGCGATTCT